CACAAACCACGACACACACAGACGCATTGAGTGAACACAGAGTGATTGTGTATAGAGTGATGCAATCTCCCTTATCTTCATCAATCTATCGTCGTTGAACATGGCAAGTGTTAAAGCCAAGCAGCCATTAATGCACTGAACAATGAACACAGATTCAGAGAGTGTTAAGGCAAGGCATCCCCTTCTGAGTTCTCATCGTTTTTTTGCATCCTCCCAGATCGTTTTGAGTTTAGATTCAGAATCTTTTGATCTTCTTCTTCATCTGTCTACTTCATCATTTAAGTAAGTTTTATGCATTTCAAATTTTGAATTCCTTAAATATGAAGATTTTGTGTATATGAAATGGCAAACAATAGATATGAAGATTGGCAAAATTAAGAAGAATGTGAAAGAGAGAGGGGCATGAAGGAAGATTCTGTGTGCATAAGAGAAAGAGAAGTTGGCAGTATTTGTAGAGATGATGTTAGTGTGAAGTGAGGGGAAACACACCTCCTCTATTTTTTCCTTGGAATCGATCATTTCTTACTTGAATTGAATTAAAGCTTTGTTCCATTATTCTAAATATGGGTGCACATAGATAGTCAATCAAACCAATTATTTTTCTTGCTTCCTTCTTCGATATAATATATATGTATGTATATTCATTGAGTATTTGCTATAAGAATTGAAGTAACTTTTTTTTATTTATGGAATTTAATTAATAAGATTATATAGATATATAATTTTTAAAATTTAATTATTATGTTACTAGTTCAATCATTGGTCCAACCCAGTTGGACTATGCAAACCGTGAATCGTTGGCTTTTTTAGTTCAATGTTCAATCTGGTTTTGAAAACATTGGCTTAAGTCTACCTTTTTTAAATTTTTTGATCTTAATTATCCACTGGTTTCTAGAAATAAATAACTATCCACACTCCTTATAGTTTTACCACCATGGTTAAAACCACACTACTATGAACAAACCAACAAATAACCTCAAGAATTTAGGTGAGAATTTTCATTGAAAAAAGTATCCATGTTTAATACTTGACAAGGATAGCCTTGAACAATTTGCAAAGGGGAGAACCACATCTGAAGCCCTCATATCAAATAAATTTACACATAAAACCTAATATATTTTAAATTGATTCTACAAGCTTAAAGATCTTAAATTTATATGCAGATATGTTTTCTAGAGAGAGAGAGAGATGAAAGTCTTGAACATATTGATCAACTCCAATCCACGTCACGAACATGATTGACTTAGAGCTCAGGAGGCGAAGCAATGGCCCAAATGGCTTATTTAAAGACATACCAGTGAGGATCTCAAAGGTTGGAACTCATAACATTGCAAGCCATGCTAGGGAAATTGTAAGATGCCATCAAGTGATGTAGCAGGGAGTGATACATCTAAGCAATAAGTTGTTGTTAAGTGCATGCTTGATGATTTTTATGAGTCCTCTGGCCAACTTGTCAGCAAGTCAAAGTTAAGAGTATACTTTTCCAACAATGTCCTTCAATCTGATGAAATCAATATCTATAATAAGCTTGGCTTTCAAAAAACAAATAATCTTGACATTATTTGGGGGTTCCATTGCTCCGTACACGTGTGACCAAATCTACCTACAGTTTCATCGAAGATAATGTGCGCAAGAAACTTGCAAATTGGAAGGCACGATTCCTATCTCTTGCTGACCATATCACAATTACTAAATCTCTGTTAACTACTTTGCCTTTTTACACGATGCAATCAAATTAATTGCCTCATAGTAATACTGAGAATAGTGATATTGAGTAAACTGAGAAACTCATCCAAGACTTTGTTTGGGGGAGCACGGGCGATCACTGTAACAGCCCTCTTGGGTCACCACTGCCTCTCCAGGGTCTTTTCCCAGGCGCTGGACAACACACATGTCACCACATGATTGCCGGCTTTCCCACTGGTGGTACAGTGGTTATTCCTCACCCCACCCTCACGGGGGTCTTTTGGAACCTCCCCAGACTCGAACCTCCAACCTCTACCACCTTAACGAAGTTGAGGCTAAGTCTGGTACCACTGAGCCTATGGGTCCATATTGATGCTTTTCTTGCCAAACTCATTTATAGATTTTACTCCAAACCAAACACCCTATGGGTCCAAGTGCTAAGAGACAAGTATGGATGGCTTAAAAAAGCCTGCATCTCACCTATGGAGAAATCTTGCAAGACTATGGGATGAAGCTAACATGGGAATTAAATGGAACCTTGGTGACGGCACCTCTGAAATTTTGGGAAGACTATAGGGTTGATGAGTTGGGGCCTTCAAAGAATCTATCATTCACCCCTATAACTGGTACTGATCTTACAAAACTTGTTGCACAATTTGTGACTACCTACAAATGTCGGGATTGGCAGCTTTTTAGTTATCTCTTACCACACGATAATTTGCCTAGCTATTGCCAAGACAGCACCATTCTTCCCCACTGATGGTCCTGCTTCATACTATTGAAACTTGATGAACAACGGAGAATTCTCGATGGGATTAATGAATGAGGCTCTTGCCAAGGGTGGAACCTAAAAGAAAAGAGATGGAAATCAATTTGAAGTTGCCCAGGACCACAACGTGTGAGATCTTTCTTACGGCTTGCATTGAAGAATAGATTACTAACTAATAGAGAACGAGTTTGAAGGCATCTCGCATCACATGATACTTGCAGCTTTTGTGAGAGAGCTTCTGAGGACCTGAACCATGTTTTAAGGGAATGTAGTTTTGGTCAACTCATGTGGGATCAAATCATTCCTAACAGAAGTATTTCCACTTTTCCCTCATTCCACTTTGACAAGTGGCTCTCGAAAAATATTCATTTCTTGCTCCCCATTCACTTGAATGGAAGCTGAGCTTTGGCTTAATGTGTTAGGAACTATGTGATGCCAGGAACAAGCGTATCTTCACCAATCCCCTGTCACCTACATTATCCATGCTAGAGACCATATCCCAAACCTAGGATCTAATATAAGGTAGGTCATGGTTTGGTTTGCTCTTTGTTTTTTCTTTGTTGTACTATTGTTTTTTTCCTTTCCAGATCTTAGTCTAACGTTGTATTGTTTTTACCCACCTAGTGTGAATAAATATCCCCCTGTTGCCCAAAATTAAAAAGAGATGTAGTGGGGACTCCTGGATACTTGTACGCTCATGACAGCCAATCGCTCTCTAAATAAAGCACTCATACACCCCCAACCCTTGCCGTCCACTTCATTATCTCGCTATATTTTGTTTTCTAAAACGTTATCATTATTTTCAGTTCTCTCTGATACTATTATCCATTCATAAAGCTCTGCATCTCCTTTCCCATTCTCGCTTATCATTTGCTTCTAGGAAATTCATTATAGAGACTCACGCGATTGAGAAGTTAGATTCACTTGAGATCCGCGGTTCTTGATGCGCCTAGCCCAAGCTATCCACTTCGACTTGAAATCAAAAGCGACCAAAACTTTTGTTTCTTTCCTTTAACTTGAAATGAGAAAGTTTGGATAAATTCCTAGTAAATGATTTGTATGTTGGGGGATAGTTTTCTCCATGAACACTTCCTTGTCGTAAATGTTTTTAATTATTAATAATTCTAAAAAGTGCCTAACAATTCAAATTAAAAAGGTGGTTAAAATTCAAATTAAAGAAGTCCACCCATTTTTATTTAAAAATTTGCAAGCAATAAAATCATCTTTTTTGAATTATTTTGAAATTCATACCCGTTTTCAAACCCAACGAATCCCAAAAAAAATAAAAAATCTATTACAAACAATTATTCTCATATTCATGTAAGGTTTTCAAGGGCAATTTTGCCTTTAGAATCAAGAAGTTAGGATGATTGGTCATCTTACACTATTTATGAAACAAATGTCGTTTTTTAAGCATCAAAATGGTTGCAATGTCACCTCTGGATTAATAGACATTAACATTGACTAATAATGTGAAATAAGTTATACCTCTATTTTTTCCATTAAAACATGCAATACTGTGTTTAAAGTGCCACATGTTTTGCCCATTAAGGATTCACTGGTAAAAGAAAGCCTATTAACTTGGGCTAATGATCAATTAATAATATTGTTGCAAATTGCATATATTTACCTTGACTTGCTAACTAGTCATTCTTATTAAAAAAAAAAAAATCCCTTTGCCTGCACTTCTATTCAATATCGAAATATGATGTACGTGTTTTGGTTAAAAAATAAGAAATAAATGGATGCTATTTGATTTGTCGACTAAGAATTCATTGATTAAAAAAAAAAAAAAGTCTGCCAACTCACTGGTCAATTAATGGTATTGTCACGACTTATATAACTATTTTGGCTAATTATAGGATTGATGGGCCTTTTTTAGGCTGAAAATATGAACATCTGTAACATATGCTAGTGCAGGTAGTTAATCATTAGATTAACAGGGTTTTTTAATAAACATGATGCAATATATTTTGGTGAAAAATATATGACATTATTGAATCTTAGGATGCTAACTCTTTCATTTAAGAATGAAGTTCTTTGATCCAACGTCAACCTAAAATTAACAGTGAACGTCAACTTTCATTTTTTTTTCTTTTTTGAAAAAAAGTTGCAATATTACAATCACTTTGAGATGGTATTGCTCTTCTATGTAATAAAAATGAACAATGAATAATTTATCATAGAAAATTTTTTAACGTCCTTATTAAAGTAAATAATTGACAAGAAAATAATTTATTAATGTGTGTTGATTGGATTGCAAAATTTGGTTTAAGTTAAAATTGCGGTTGTAGTATTATCAAAGCTTGTAGTATTATCAAAGCTCTTTCGAAAGACTTCAATCAGTTATTGCTTCAAAATATAAAGAGTTTGAATTATTTTTATTTAATTTTTTTATAATAAATAAGAGATGAACTTTTACACCGTTGTCAATAAAAAAATTAATTGACAAGAAATAATAATGAATTTATTTTTTCAGAATTTACCAATCTGATTAGTTTTGCATCCCTTACAGATAATCCAGAGAGAAGAAAAAAGGAAAAAAATTGTTTTTGCCGGAGCACATGACCTAACGCTTGCACTTTCATTTCTCATACAGCATAATCTGTCGCTTTCTTTCTGGCTCCAACAATTGCTGAGCGATCTTTCCGCGTCCTCCTGCAAATCGTTTCGCTTTCTCATTTCGGCTACTAGGTTTCCCGCGTCACATAATCTATCGTGTTTTCTCTTCTCAATTCCATTTGGCCGTCGAATTTGAGGATTCAGCTAGTTCCGGCCAATCTATATAAACTGGAAGGTAATTTTTTTTTTTAATTAGCGAAACCCTAGCTCTGATCAACTCCATTCCCTGGTTTTTCTTGTCGAGATGTTGGTGCGTTGACTTCATGTTCTCGATTCTGCTTAAAATCTGTAATTTGTACAAGTTGGTTACTTTAGTCGATTGCTCTGATCTCTTTTTCTGTAATCGATTTAATAAATTGAATTTTGTTGTTGTTGCTGTAATATAGTTTCATGGTAATCTCATCCTTTCACGCAATCATGACATTCCCCAGTCAGTTATTTGTTTGCTGAATAGCTGCAGCGAAGTCAGTATCTCACTTGCTGTTTTATTCAGTTTTTTCCTTCATAGGCTGACCATTTCATGTGGACTCTTTCTCTTAGGCTCGGCTCTTCCTTCTTTCATTACTTCTGCAACACGAGGAATATCCTATAGCTTATAACTTCATCAAGGTTGATTCTAACTGCCAGATGAGTCGGGCTCTTGATTGTACTAACAGAGGCATGATAAAACGGAAGAAAAATCAGCATATTAATGTCACTTTCTAGCGGCGACGATTACTTCAGACTCTACTGATGTTTCTGTAACTGATCTAGTAAATTTCTCCATTATGCATCCTGCTATTCAGATCTTGATGGAGGAACTGAAGGCATGATTGTAGGGGAACACCTTGTAGGTACGAAACTGGCAATGAATAATGCCAGTGGAGAGCAGGAAAGGGAACTTGCCCATGAACCATACATTGGGTTAGAGTTTGAATCAGCAGACGATGCACTTAAGTTTTACACTTTATATGCAAAGCATGCTGGATTTAAAGTTCGGATTGGTCAGTTGTATCGATCAAGAACTGATGGGTCAGTTTCTTCCAGAAGATTTGTGTGCTCAAAGGAGGGATGTCAGCTCAGTTCAAGAACGGGTTGTCCAGCATATATAAGGGTACAAAAGCGTGATTCAGGGAAGTGGGTTGTTGATCATTTCATTAAGGGCCACAATCATGAACTTGAACCCGAAGGTGAGGGTGAAAGTTGCCTTCCTAATTTGCAGCAGAAAGATGCTACAGGTGTAAAATCTGTAACTGAGGTGTCTCATAGACCAAGAAAAAAAATGCTTCAAGTCAAGGATGAGCATTGTTCCTTTGGCATAATTAATTTTAAGCGGATGAGAAAAGGAGATGAAGGAACATCCAGAGCTGAGCCATATGTAGGTCAAGAATTCAGTTCATCTAATGATGCTTACCAATCTTATCAGACATATGCAGCATCCGTGGGTTTCAGAGTTCGTATTGGTCAATTGTTTCGTTCTAAAAATGATGGATTAATTACATCCCGACGATTTGTGTGCTCAAAAGAGGGATTCCAACACCCTTCAAGAGTTGGTTGTGGTGCTTATTTGAGAGTTAAGAGACAACCATCTGGGAAGTGGGTTGTGGATCGTCTTCATAAAGAGCATAATCATAATCTTGATCCTGAACAGGAGGGTAAGCCAAAAAGTCTGCCTGCTTTAAATATTTTGACTGATGAGGTTGATGCAGGATTGGTAAATGGTGACTTATTTAGGATAGATAACTACCCTGTTCCTAGGGCAGGCAGACAAAACCATATTAAAAGTGATTGGTACAACATGCTTTTTGAGTATTTTCAATCAAGACAAGCTGAAGATACAGGATTTTTTTATGCCATGGAAGTTGATAATGGCAATTGTATGAGCATATTTTGGGCTGACGGCAGATCAAGGTATTCAGGCAGTCAGTTTGGTGATCTCCTTGTTTTGGATACATCATATCGGAAAAGTGTTTATTTGGTGCCGTTTGCTACTTTTGTTGGCATTAACCATCACAAGCAACCTGTGCTTCTTGGATGCGCTCTAATTGCTGATGAATCTGAAGATTCTTTCACTTGGTTGTTTCAAACATGGATGAGGGCAATGTCTGGCCGGCAGCCACTGTCAGTAATAGCGGATCAAGACATTACAATCCAGAAGGCATTGACAAAAGTCTTTCCAGGAACCCGTCATCGTTTCTCATTGTGGCAAATTAAAGTAAAAGAACAAGAGAATGTGGGTTTGATGGGTAATAAGTTTACATATGATTATGAGAGGTGCATTTACCAAAGTCAGACAGTTGAAGAATTTGACACGACATGGAATGCCCTAATTAACAAATATGGATTAGAGAGCAATGCTTGGCTGAAGGAAATGTATGAGAAGCGTGCATCTTGGGTTCCATTATATTTGAAGGGGACCTTTTTTGCAGGCATTCATATGAATGAAAGTGTTGATTCGTTCTTTGGTACACTTTTAAATGGCCAAACCCCTCTGATGGAGTTCATTTCACGGTATGAAAGAGGTCTGGAGCGACGCCGTGAGGAAGAAAGAAAAGAGGATTTTAATACCTCCAATTTTCAACCATTTTTGCAAACGAAAGAATCAGTAGAAGATCAATGTAGAAGGGTTTATACTCTTACCATATTCAAAATATTTCAAAAAGAGCTTCTGCAATCCTACAGTTATCTAGGGTTTAAAATTTATGAAGAGGGGGTCCTCAGCAGATATTTGGTGCGTAAGTGTGGGAATGATCCTGAGAAGCATGTAGTTACCTTTAGTGCATCCAGTATCAGTGTAAGCTGTAGCTGTCAGATGTTTGAACATGAAGGCATTCTTTGCAGACATGTTCTAAGGGTTTTCCAAATTTTGGAATTAAGAGAAGTTCCGTCTCGTTATATCTTACACCGTTGGACTAGAAATGCCGAGAATGGTGTTTTTCCTGATGCAGAATCGTGGAGCAGCCCTCAGGAACTCAGGAATTTGATGCTATGGAGCCTAAGAGAAACTGCGTGTAAATATATAGATGCTGGTGCAACGTCTCTTGACAAGTACAAACTTGCCTATGAGATTTTGCAAGAGGGGGGGAGGAAGCTATGTTGGCATCGGTGAGTATTTTTATTTTGGACATAGTTGTACAATGAAGGTTTGTAGGTTTGTCTGTTAACTTAGTTATGCAGTCTTGTTTCATGAATCATACTGAGTAATGCATGATTTGGGTTGCTGGTTTCCTCACACTGGACATGGTGCTGTGTAGATCGAGTTGGTGATGCCTGTTCTTTGAGTTGGCCTTTTTTCTTCCTTCAAGGATAAGAACATTGAGATTGAGTAGGTCCTTCTTTGGCACAAAGAAGAAAAAAATTGCAGGTTTGATGGTCCTTTAAAAACTGAGGTGTCATTTGAAAATTGAAAATCCGAGTTCCTATAAACAAAGGAGCGCCTAGCCCTGGCCAGATAACTTGTAGAGATCAAAATCATTAGCTTCTAATTCTATCTTCCTTTATGATAAAGGTAGTTAGCGGTTTCGCCGCTTGCTTTTTTTCACCTTTATATTCTAGTAGAGAATCTGGCGATAAGACTGCATATGCGACACATCATAGGTTCCTCTAGAGGTGATTAGAGATAACAAACAAAAATGCTTTTTTAAGTCTTACTCTTGGAAGATAATTTAATTTAATGCCTTTTTCCTTTTTAATAATCAAATCCTGAAGCTCCGGTTGTGCCAGGAAGAAAGGTGCAATGCCATACGTTACACTTGAAAACAAAAGTTGGTAGATAATCAGAGGTCTAGCTTCTGTTATATCCTTATCATTACCAATTAATTCCTACCATGAGGACCATAAATTGTTATCTGTTGGTCTCTTGATGATGCAGACCTACCACTGATGCGGACTTAGAAACCAATGAAAATCCTCACTTCATAATCTGCTTGTATTGCGTGGCAACGGATGATGGGATCATTTACATTATTCCGTTGTCGCATATCAAAGTTGGATAGAAGAACTCCAATTCAAAATTTTACAATTTTTTATGCCCAAAAAAATGATTTAGGACTTGTTTTTTTTATTTTTAAAAGCAAAAAAAATTTAAAAATTTGTTTTGATAATTTTTTTCAATTTAATTATTTTTAAAACTGTTTTCATTTTTTTAAAATAGGAACAATTTCAAGTTGTTGTCGTTTTATTTTTCTTATTTTTAAAATATACTACATTTGATTATTGAAAGTTAGAGTTATTTTGATCAATTTTTATCATAAAGCACTATTATTAATTGCTTATACCCATCATTATTAATTTATTTTTTAATTCCAAAACTGTTTAAAATTAACATAACCAAATGAATTTTCATTTTGTTATGTTTTAAAAAAAATGACAATAAAATCTCTTTAACTTGATTTTCGAAATGTCATAATAACAATAAAGTATTTAAAGGCCTCTTTGTTAATAATTTTTTTAGGAAAAAGATTATTTTACCTTCATTAAAATTACAAAATTCAATCATAATTTTTTTTAAAAAAAATCACAATTTTTGCTCTGTAAATTATAAGAGTTGAATAAAAAATTATAACTTATCAATTTGTTTATGTAATGTTTATTATTGAAAAAAAGTTTTTAAAATAATAAATTTCATTCACAACTTTTATTTAAATAATCACAACTTTTTTTTAAAGGATCGCAATAATTAAATAAAAAGTTACAATTTGTTAATAGGGATAAAATGATCATTTTTTTAAGAAAGTTATTAATAAAGAAGTCCTTAAGGACTTCATTGATATTATGATATTTTAAGGGATCAAATTACATGATTTGAAAGAATTTTATTGTCATTTTTCTTTTCAAAAACTGTATTGTAAAATAATTTTTAAAAATAAAAAATACATTGTGAGTTTTAGTTTTCCCACTGCATTGGTTTGAACCATTATTCTCAGCCAATTGTGTCGTCATCCAATTTTTTCATCATAAATCTGTTTATTAGAAAGGATGCAGATTCACCCTCACTGAATGAGGGAGAGTCAACCTTTGCTTGAGATTATAAATGAAAATTATAACTGAGATGATTTTCATTTCAAGTGTGAAAAAATAGATCATACTTACATGCAGTCTTTCATATATTTTTAAAAGAAATCAAGTGAAATAGAACAAATGAATGAATTTGTAATTATAACCTGACAGGTATCTAATTTGGTTTGGAAGCTATACATCTATCCACAAAAATTACATACGATTAATGATAAGAAAATGTGTAGGTGTATTGAAATAAAAAATAAAATAAGTTAAAAAAATAAGAAAGAAGAAATATGTCTCTTATAGAACTCTTTGTAATTTTTTAAAACTTTCACGGATATTTTAATTTAAAGAATTTAAATTAATACAAGGCTGTTCCAGGCAAATTCTACTGGAGGTGTGAAAGTGGCTCTTTCTATGCTCTTTGCCTTTTGTGGCCAGTGTGTCTTTTCGTCATATTTAGCTCATGGGTTGGGTTACATTCCTTATAAAAGTCTTTTTAAAAAAAAATTTAAAAAATGAAATAAAAGCCTTTGATTCTTCTCGAAGGAACGCGCAACGGAATCAAAGTTGAGTCATAGCTATGCGCCTTTGACTGCGTATCACTAAAGCATTGAACTTCTTCGCAGAGTGGAAGGTTCCTTCTTGAAGCGGCCAGCAATGGATAGAAAACGCTAGAGATTTTATTCAACGTTACTACATACGAAAACAACAATTCTCAAATGATCTTTCATCAGGTAGCATTTTCTACACTGCCTTTGCCCTTAATTTTGCATATGTCAATATTAGGAGTCTTCATCTTGTATTCATCTTGATTGGCCCGGTATCATTTTGATATGGTCTTGTCCTGACTTGAAAACAATCAAGATGAAACTTTACAAGACGTGATAGGAAAGAGGTTCGGAATAAGATCAGACGGAACATGGGATTACAATCGGGACGTCTTGCTCCATTCTGAATATTATATATATAATTTTTTATTTTAAATATATTAATTATATTAATATAATTTACATTTATATTAATTATAATTTCAATACTTGAAATTCTTATTTGAAACTAAAATTTTTTTATATTGATAATTTTAATAATATAGAGTAAACAAGATAATATCTTTCTTTATAATATATTAATTATATTAATATAATTTATTTTTATATTTATCAATTTAATAACTTTTATTTATATCGTATTTCTTGCTTTATTTTTAGAAAAGTAATTAGCTTAGCACATCTTAAGTAAAATAGAAGAATAATGATTTGATGTTGTGCTTGATTTACCTGTTGATGCTGCTCTGCAAAGATAACTTATAATTGTTATTATAATGTGTTGTTGTAATGAATGTAATTCAATAATTAACTTTAAATTGTTGTGATTTATATACTTGTGTTGTTTTGATTTTAAACTTAATAAATTATATGAGTTAAATTTTTCATGAACGTTATTATCCAGATCTTTCTCTAACATTATCCAATTTATCGGGACAGCAAGACATCTTGATCTTGTCGCGGTCCCATCCTGATTTCTAACAGAACAGGATGACTTTGAAATGAGACGCGTAATATCCACCTTCTCTAATCTATGATCAATTCCAAATCTTCATAATAAAAGAGATTGACTCAAGGTAAAAGACATATTTATCAAGTTTGCAATTAAGTGATAAAGTTGGGATCTCAAATTTTTAAAACTAAAACCATCTCCAAAGATTTTGAAATAAACAAATTAGAGTTTATAACTATGCGAAAGCAAGGAATCATTTCAAGATTTAATACATTTGTTAAAAAATTATAAAACAAAGGGATTTTGCAAGATTTGGGGCATGCGTCGCGGCTCATTGAACAAGGGCTGCGGCTTGTTCACCTCTGTGCCATGCGCTGTGGCTTGTTGCCCAATGTGCTACGGTGCATTACATGTTTTATGACAGTAGATTTCTATTGTCAATTTGGCAGCTTCTGGAGCAACTTTTGACGTGCTCCATTTCTCTATCCGACTGACGCAAATTAGGTGTCTATGGTAAGCTCTTTCCAAGCTTTGACTCATGGCTTGAGTTACACACTCAAATTATTGCTTATTCAAAATTTGAACACTCTTTTCAAAACTTGCACTGTTATATCATTTTTTTACAAATTAAAGTGTCTAAAACCCATTCTACAAGCCAAAAGCCATAGACAACTCTCAAACCACATACAAGTGGTTCAAATTAACTTGTGCAACATACTACAACACATTAAATACTAGAAAATAAAATTTTCATAGCTCAACCCCAAATTCTCAAAAATAAAGGAGGAAGCTGTAATCACCCATTTCATCAAATAATTTACAAACATCCCATGTTATGCCCAACTCTTATTTGTACTAGTATTTTGGCCCTATTGTAAATGCTATAAATCACAAACACACATCTTAGGGCTCAAAATACACTTACAACTCACAAAACACATAATGCAAGTAAGACGCAAAATGGATAACTCCTAGTTGATAATTTCAATCATCATTTACATATTAATACTCAAAATAAAGAGGCCTACTAATAGGATCGCATTCTTATGCCTTTGGCTGTTTTCCTTTATTCGATCCTCTTGAACTATTCCTTGTAATAGTGAAGATAATGGGGTGAGTATAACCATTCAATAACTAAGGTCCAACTAACTTATACTCATGCATGTTAATTAATTTAAATACAAGTAAAAATTTAATAAACCAGTTCAAACATGAACATACACACACGTATAGCTCAATCTTTTCATTTCTAGTAGGACATACACATACAATAATGATCAATATCAAGTCATATAACATGTTTTCAAAGCTTATATCTACATTTCTTATTCACAATAATACATAATCGAGATATATAAATCAAAGTAATGGCTTTTCTTAAGGACAAGACTTTCATTGATTTTATTTCAATAGGGGCACAATATAAGAACCACGTGCCCTTTTTACTATATACATGATCACATCTTCCTTATATCCTCCTTATTTCTCTGACATGGAACCGTGGGCTATAACACATTAGGATAGTCTATGATTTAGGACTTCCCTAGCCTAAATACGTGTAAGGGGTTACTTGGCCAAGGTCTTCCTAACTCACTGGTGGAACATAGCTTTCCCTATTTCCTTACACTATGAAGTATCATTTTCCATAGACTAGCTTTCTCATTGAATAAGTGGATAACTAATTAGGTTCGAGTCACTCATTGAACAAATGGGATAATATACATATAACAATCTAGGCAAGTCATCAACTCGAATGAGAGCCTTACCACGTAGATTTAATTCTCTACACCTCTTTCTAGGTGAACTCCCGTCTCTTATAATCATGCAATGTATAAATATGCAATAACTCATCACATGCAAGTATTCACTACTCAAACATGTTCAATCATCTCATTATATTCACATTTAACACACATCATCAAACTCCTCAACACATATGTCATTGAACTCCTTTAATATCATTGTACCCTATCACAATTCACGTCATTGAACTTCGTATATTCATAATCATTATATCTCCCACATTCACGATCATTGAACTTCATAAATTTTAAAATCATTGAATTCTATCACACACATTCATAGAACTTCCAAATACACTATTTTTATTGAACTTCTCACTTGTTAAATCATTGAACTGCATCAGTTAACCACCTTATAGCGGGTTTTTCAAAAAAATCATGCCACATTTGCATTTCAATCAATTTCACACAATTCAATTATCAAATATCAATCAATAAACTAATTAACACACAAAAGTACAAGATATAATTCTCCTGGTTACCTCAAACCTTTGAGAGGTCAAAGATTTCATTCCTGAAATACTTATTCCGAAGCTTCCAAGAAGTTTAAATAGTGCCAATAAGGTTACTCTACAAATATTTATAATGAAGTTCATTGATCAATATTCACTTTCAGGTTAATTTTTACTAATAACTTAATACTTTTTTATGCTCAAGATTCATTCTTTACTCATATAAAAATATACCCATAAGATTTTTTTAGCTTTCTTTAACCCTCATTAACATCATTAAGCTCTTTAATGGCAATTAATGGAACCACATTGTCCCAACTAACATATTTATGGGAAATTTTTAGATATTAAATGCTTCCTAACTACCAATCATCATAAATCTATAAATACCAAGTTTCATTAGCTCAATCTACTTTCATTAATTTTATTTAAAACAATGGGTTCAAACCCATAAGTTATATGGACCAAAAATCATCATTGCCAACCAAACTCTAACTTCCAATACTAAGGAAATGGAAGAAGGAAGAAAGATTTAGGTATAAGAAGCTTATCTTTAATGTTTGTGAGCTCCAAAATATTCCAAATATTCTAATTCCTTAAGCCCTAGCAGAGCATTCCCATCCCTCCTTTGTGTTTCTTTGTTTCTCCCTTTTCTGTTGCATCAATTCACGTTCTTATTTTGTAGAAAGGTATCATGAGCCGTGAAGGACACACAATGTACCACAGTGCATGGCACAGAACATCTTCCTTAGACATGTCAGCATGCATGCATCACGATAACCTAATCCACAAGCCACGACGCGTGGCACAGAGCCCTACCTATCAAATTTTCTTCATTCTTTCATTTCCGAGTAACCTTACTTCCTCTGGATCCATGTTTAGGGTTAAAAATATAACCAAACATGTACGTTAGACCTCTGTAACCACACACCCCTTTAAATTAATCTAAATCAAGCTTAATTAATTCAGTTTAAAATTTGAGGACGTTACAGGATGAGACACAGGAACAAAATTCAATCTCAATCTGTTTTTTTGGGACAGGACAGAGTGTCTCGGTCTCGTCTCGTGAATACTCTTAGTTAATATCACAGATGAGCAAGACAAATCTAACTCAAATTAAATGAGCTTAATTAGTTAGAACATTATGTGATTCTAAAATTTACAGCCTTTTTTTGAGTACATGGAAGCCATAAAAATGCAGGACTTTCACTACCCAAAAAAAAAAAACAAAACGAAAAAGCAGGACTTAAATATTGAAGCCATTAGCTGAACTCTTTATTGGTGATACAAGACTCTCCATGTAGATCTCAGCATCAAACCAGCGCTTCCCATTCTCAATCCTGGGATAACTAAAAGATTTGTCCCTTGGGTCATACAGGATCAAGTCAAACTCAAACATTAACAGAATTTGACCTTTCCCTGAAATGCAAAAGGGCACTGAATAGGAGAAGTCTTCCGGGTTAGGCAAATAAGGGAAAACCACCAATTTCACCCATGACTCTCTAACCCCATAGTCCTTCATTACCCACACGACAAAATGAGTTTTTTTGTAATCATAGCTCATAGACAGGCAGCCACCTAAAACACTCAGGCTAGGCCTAGAACTGTCTTCTTTTTCATATGCAGGTGGCAGAACTTGCATATATGTTCCCCCCTGCAGATCAAAAGATACAATAACCCACAAAGGATTTGAAGTTGAATTTTCAGACCCAGAACCAAAAGAGCAACTGGCAGGCCAATTGAGGGTTCCACTCACAAATTTCCCAAAATCATGATAGGGTGAGAACCCATAAGGGAAATCTTGAATCTTTCTCCAAGAATTGGTGGCTAAACTATAAACCTTCACTTTTGTTTCGCTGATATAATGTTCTCCAGGGTCACAAAACACACAGCCACCACTTTATAATCGTCAGATACGTGATCATATCCGAGACCAAATGCAGTATAACACCCAGGTCTCCAATTATTATCCAGAGATGGAGACTTTTTGGAGACTCTAATTGAGGGGTTCCAAAGAAGAACACACTCTGCTTTTATGGCGAAACAGAGCAACCCGTTACAAGAGCCTATGATCCCATCATGGCGGAACTTATTCTTCACTGGGTAGTTGAGTTCTTCAGAAGTGATTGACGGTTTATTGAACAATGAACTGACAGAGCAAGATTTGAGGTTGAACTCTGCGGTTGTGGAACTCAATATGATCCTATGGTTGTTGAGTCTGGTGTTCTGAGTTGAATTCAAAAGGTGCTTTTTGACGAAATAAGGATCAGAAATTAAGGATTTCCATGACTTACATACGCACCTCAGATGCAAAAGAGACCTCACAGGAAGCCTCGAGAGGATTTCTTCAATGAGTTCATTGGGGATGAAAGGTAATTGAACAAGGAATGGTTTTGAAACAGACAGGGTTTGATTCTGACTTTGCTTTTGTTGTTGCACAATCGAGGAAGTTGAAAGAGACAAGGTAGTTGGGTCTTGGGAATTTATGGGTTGCTCTCTCTTAAGTGTAGCATCTGAGGCGGCGGTTCCCTGGAGACGGCGGTGGCAATCACCGTCAACTTCCGACAACATATCGATCCCGAGAGAGAGAGAGAGAGAGAGAGAGGTAGAGGGACGTTATGGTTCCTCTGTTTCTGGAAAAACGTGTGGATTGGCAAGTGTGTGAGGCAGAGAGCATCATCTTATGAAGATTGATGGATCACTGTGATCGCTTGCCACTGTCATGCCACGACAATTTATTACGTCACTTCCTTCTGTTTTTGTTTGCGATTCGGACAATTTACGTGAGATTTTGGTTCTAGCACAAAATGACCCACTCGCTCCTGTCTTTTTAAAAAGAAACCCATGAGTTGTACTTGAATAATAATTTTTTAGTTGATCTCATAATATAGTTAAGGCAATCTAAATTAGACTCTCTGTTACAAGATGTCTCTCATCGAAGTGCAGTATGACAAAGGTTTGAAAAAGTGTCCGTTATTTGTTGATGTTAAGAAAACATGGTAGGTGATTATGTTACAAAAGCAACATGTAATAAGAGAAGTATTGTGTTTAAGGGAATACGACAGCAGGGAGCTGTCGTGTAAAGAGGCTGTAATGTTCTAAGCAAACCAAGGACTGAACTAAAATATGCACAATTTTGTTCCTTTTTTGGACATCCTAAATTGCTTGCTGATGAACGATCCATATATTCACATTGAGTTCAGGGCGGGGGCTACCTTGTTGAATATCCCCATTTTCAATAGATTTTAAATCATTGGATTTAAATAATTTTAATGCACGTTTAATGCTGATATAATTAATTTTTGAAAGAATTGGGAAAGCATTAACAAAGTTAAGATGTCATGAAGCGGATAATGAAGATTCGTCATGGTTCAGCTACTGTGTAATGGAGTGGAGGATGGATATTTAGCATTTTTGTATTTACTGTTTTTTTTTTAATTGAAGTGTGTGATTCTTCATGCAGCAGATAATGAAGATGTCTCATCAGCAAAAAAATGTGCATGTCTAGAGTTAATAATTTGAGTCAAATCCAACAAGTCAATCTGAATGGGCTTAAAAAATTTTAAAATTGAACTTAGGAGTTCAAAAGATTTTCTTTATCCGAAAGTTATTTGGACCACTCGAATAAATTTGAAAAAATCCTGATCAAACCCGAACCTGAATAGACTCAAACCGAATATCTGAATTCTCGAGGTTTTAGGACAGGGTTTAGTTATATTAGCTTTTTAATTTGTTTCGATATTTTAAATTCAATCTAAATAAATTAACCCATCCAAATTACCGGCTCTAGCAGCCATATCTTCCTGCTTTCTCTTGTTTTATTCACTCGTCTTCTGTTGTTAAGAATTAAGATGACATTGACATGACAAGCGGGGCATTCTGTATGAGCCTCTCAAAAGTTGTAAGGAAACTAAAAACTAAACCAGTAATTTGTTCGATGATTACAGTAGAGTAAGATTTAGTGCTGTAATTCTCATTATGGAATTAAGTGGCAAGTTCATGTGACTTCCTTTTTTTTGGGGGGGATAATTGCTTCATTGATCCTTCATTGGATGACTTTCTGTTAGTCAAATGAACAAACAAGCTGCCACTCTTAAAAATTTAAAATATCTTAACGGCTAACAAAATCATCGCTTGTGCCCAAGTTTTGACTTTTGAGTGAAAGGCGCTAATGGGATTATTCCACTGTAAAATACTTTTGGAAGTGAGTTTATATTTATTCTTTCAGTGACGTCTTTGCTGGTGTTAACACAAAAAAATTGGACAACGAACCCAGGCAATTCTCAATCCATCAACCTAAAAAACATAATCACAATGCTCAGGGACATGAAAACAAAGGGGGTAATTGTAGACACTTGCACCCTCGTCCTTCAATCAATTCTTCGTCCTGAACCATCAGCTAAAATTCTGAGACAGAACAAAACGAGATCTTGGGTAGTTGATTCCATCTATTATTATTTAACGACAATCAAAGAACTCAACGAATTCCACCAATGAAGTACCACACATACCACATTCTCTTCTTCGCTACTACGTTTTACTTATGCCATACATATGAATAAGCACTAGCAACATAAAGTAGCGTTAAACCATTTGTGCAGCAGTCAGCTGATTGTTTAAGGAGTTTCCATACTAGCCCGTTAGCATAGCATCTAATCCTCTTGCAGCTTGCAGGACAGTACCTAATGACAATACAAGGTGGTACATCACTGCGAATTATACATTTAACCTAAACATCTGAGGGACATAATCAACTCTAGGACTAATACATGGAGAATATCTTCTGACAATTAAAATCTACTAAAATTTCTCTAGCTTCAGATTCCATCAATGATGATCCACGAACTCAACAATATTCAGCTTAGAGATCCTTCAAGAAGCTCATGTGCCAGATGACTTGGTCTTGCATCTAAATCCTATCTTTAAAAGCAAGGTGAGGTCAGACTCTCAACATAGATCTGTGCATCAATGCAACCATCGATGTTTCGGACCTCAGGCCTCACAAGTGAGGAATTTTTTGAGTTATACCAATATAAGGACCGCCTGTCCTGAAACAGTATTTCACTACTTTCCGAAATACAGCGTTCGTTTGGACAAAGAGGGATAGGAATCTCCACGAAAGGAATGCTGAACAGTTTAGTCCAAGACTCTTTAACTCCAAAATCCTTCATAATCCACACATCTGAACGCGTGCCATAGTAATAAAGGATGGATAAGCAGTCTCCTAATATTCCCAAGGTCAAGGTAAGCATACCATCTTCATGATCAGGCTGTGAAAGTTCTACATACGACTCCTTCCCCAAATCAAGAGAAATGACAACCAGTGGAGAACGTGAATGACTAATCGCCACCCAATTAAGAGTTCCGCTCACGAATTTTCCCATTTCATCACAGGGGATACCTGAAGGGAACTCCTGAATCCTTCTCCAAGAGTCAGCGCCCAAAGTATAAACCTTGACTTCAGTTTTATAATCACCTCTGCCATCACTATCATAGCAGAAAATTGCGACCACCTTGTAGTTATCAATTGATTGATCATAACCAAACCCATATATTATATAACTCCCATCCCTTCTTTGATAATCCAAAGAAGGGTATTTCTTACATTTTCTAATAGATGGATTCCATATAAGGATATGACTAGGCCGGATAGCGAAACAAAGCAATCCGTTACAAGAGCCCACAATGAAATCATATCGATTTCGTTTCTTCAAAGGGTATTTCAGTTTCACGGCATCAGTGGGCAGGCGGTCGCGTATGGATGCAACAGGGCAAGATTTGACGGTGCATCTAAGTCCCGGGAAGCAGAACACGACGTGATGGTGGGTGAATTGGCGGTCCGCGGTTGACAAACGAAGGTGCAATTTAGCGAATTTGGGATCGGAGATTAAGGACAGCCAAGACTTGCATACGCACCTGAGTTGCAGAAGAACTTTGACAGGGAGCCTGGAGAGAATATTCTCGATGAGTTCGGGAGGAAGGATCGGCGATGGCGGAGAAGCCCGATCGCCGGGATGATTACCCATGCGGTGATGGGAGGAGGAAGAAGAAGGGGGAGATGAAGATGAACCAGGAGAAGGTCGATGCTTCTTGAGAATGGAAGTGGCTTCTCGATCAGAGAATTGCCGAGAAAAAGGTGCTCCGATGTTGGAGAACTCGCAAGTGTTGTTGCTACCTGATGCCATTATTGGGGAGCTAGGGTTAGCCTGCTCTACTTTCATGTGGTTCCGGGTTCTGACAGTTTACTACCTCACGCAATCTTTGAATAATGATGGCTCATGCGCTGCGTTTTCCTGATTCAAACACATAATTTTTAATCCATCCATGATTCTGAATAGTAGATAGCAGTACATTGCACGAGACTGCGTGTAAATATACTTCCGTTTCAAAATATAAAATATTTTAATATTTTAAAATATAATTATTATAAGTTTTTAAAATATTTCTATTTAATAATTATTTTATATTTATTTTAAAATAAAACACTGTATTATATAGAGATAAATATAAAAATATAATATTAATTTAAAAATAAATAGTTATTTTAATAATGAGTAATATTCAATTATAAATATTTTATTTTTTTAACAAAAAAATATAATAAAAATATTATTTTTATCTCTGCACTTTACTCTTATTTTTATATAATTATCTATAATTTTTTTATTGTTCTAAGTTCTAACATTTTTTTGGTTTTAATGTTAGTCTCTTCATTTTTAAAGGAATATTGATATGGTATGAGTGGTGTTAATAATGTTAATGTGTTAATTAATGTTGTTAATTTTTTACTTGCATATCAAGCTGATGCTTGTATAGATTTTTTTTAATAAGCAAAAGCTTAAAAAAAATTACATCGGATGAAATAGAGATGCTGACATGAATTTTTTTAATAAGAAAAAATTTAAAAATTTTATGTCAGCCTTTCTATTTCATCTAATATAAGATTTTTTTTAATTTTTTTAAAATTCATGTCAGTATTAATTTGACATATAAGCACAAAATTAACAATATTAATTGATATGTTAACATTATTTATGTCACATCAATGTCCCTCTAAAAATGTAGAAACTAACTTTGCAAATAGAAAAAGGTATAGGGATTTGGAATATCAAAAAAAAAATATGTAGGGGCCTATATCAAAATTTAAGTAAAGTGCTGAGACTAAAAATAGTATTTTCCCATCATAATTACTAGTTTTTTTTTTTAATGCAAGGCCAGAAAACGTCAAAAATCTATATAGATGGTGACTCAAAAAATTATAGTATCAAAATTATCATTAGAAGTTTGTTGAACAAGTCAATTCGTACATCTAATAGCTTCTTTATACACATATTTAATGTAATATCCTGAGTTTTAAACTCTTAAATTTTAAGTATTTAATAAGGATAAATTTGTCAAAATAAGTTATTTATGAATTAATGGTGTTTTTAGGACACTAATAAATTAGACGCAAGGTGTGTCTGATTTCAGAAGAGAAAAGAAAGAAAATGCGAAGAGGCGATGGTGGAGGACTTGGCATTACCAGGGTTTCATCTTGGGGGCAATTTGGGAGCATTTTGAGCAAAAATTATCCTTGGGTGAGCTTCCTATACTTCTTCCTCTCCTTTTATATGAAATTTCTAAGATTTTAGGTAATGTGGGGTTTGATTTTAGTTTTTTTGAATTATAACCGAACCCATTGACTTAATTAAGATATTAAGGGGTTAAACTAAGCTTTTAAACACAGGTTTTATAGTAATTTAAAATTTTTAATTTGAGTTTAGATGAACCCTAAGTGAAATTTAAAAATTTTAAAACAAAATGGGTAAAGAATTAGCATTATTAGTGTATTTGGATGCTAAATGAAATTAATGGAGTATATTGGGAGTGTTGATGGTGTTAAAGTCGGATTTTGAATATGGTGGTTACCCAAAATTAGACTAAAAAGAGGTTAATTAGAGTAAGAATTGATAATTTAATGTTTAATCTTGTAGATTAAATATTTATCGTGCCCTGTTGTGTGAGTGGACATTAATGAAGTTGGTAATTGATCACGATAATCTTTTTTTGTGATAAAAAAGTTGAGGTAACTAAATTATCTAAACTTAATATTTGTGTATTTGGATGGTTGCGTGGTATTATGAAAATTACTTTAACTATTATTTTGAACTAGTATACTATTAGTATAAATGATTAGAATTTAGAAATACTATGTGAAGTGAAATGTATGCTTATGTTTGCAAATATGAGATTTTGAAAATGAATAATTCAATATGGAAATGATTGTTTAAGTATAAATTATGTGTATAGTTATTTATGTTAATGTTTGAGCATAATCATTGTGAGAGGGTGAGAGTTCACCCTAGTAGTTGTTAGGAAACATTATTTGAAAATTTACATGGTATGCTAACACTATGGAGGCCCTAGTGTTCAGTCTTATTCTTGTTTCGAAGTCCCAATATTATTCGAGATAAATTAGGCACATAACACCCCGAGCATTCGTAGGAAGGGAGAATCTGTGGTCCATAGTGGGTGAAGGGGCCTTTGGCAAGGCTATCTCCCATGATTGGTAAGCTTGAGCTAATACAATCACATGAGTTTAGTTCTATTGAATTGTTAGCCCACAAGTTTAGTCAAACAAAATAAGAAAGGTATAAGGCGGTGTGTTGGTCATGCATATCATCATTGTATAACCATGTGTGTGTATGTAAACTTGACATCTAGATTACATGTTTAAATATCACTTCACATGCTCATTAAGGCCTCGTTTGGTATGATAGAAGAGTTTTTGATGAAATCGGAATCGGAATTGGAATCAAAATAGAATTGAGTTATAAATGTATGTTTGGTGTGAAGATGGAATCTGAATATAATATTAATAAATATATGTATTTAAAATAGATAAAGACCAAAATTTCCTTATAAAAAAAACTCAACCATCATGATGGAGTGTGTATGTGAGGTACTTCTGACAATTCCATGGAATTGTGGCAATTCCATCATGATGAAGATGAAATTGAATTCTGAATATTTTGGCAGAATTGGAATTCATAAAGAATTGAATTCATGCATACCAAACCATTGAAAGCATGATTCCAATTCCAATTCTATTTCTCTTGGATCCAATTCTAATATACCAAACATGACCTTAAGTGTTCTCACACATGAGTAGTTTGTTTAGATTATTTGGTTACTAAGTTTTTGACTTGCCTAGTGGTTATATTTTACATGTGAAAGCTTTGATAAAGATAAGGGAAAGAAAGGTGCTATTGAGATTTGAGATGAGTTTGTATGGTCCTCTCTTTCTTCTTTTGTAATTGTAACAAATATTATTTGATATTGATGCTGTAACATCCCAATTTAAATTTTAATAGTTAATTTAGGTTAATAGAAATTTTTTTTTTTAAAAAAAAAATAATATTTAGAGGTAAGAAATTAGTAGAAAATGATTATTAAATCTAATTTAGGATATAATTCTAAATAAAAAAAAATTTAAAAAAAATAAATTTATTAAAAAAAATTAATTAAAAAAATTAATTATTAAATTATTATTATAATAAAAAAAAAAAGGGAAAAAGGTATGCCAAAACAAAAAAAAAAAAAAGGAAGAAGAAGAGAAAACGAATTTGCTTTCGGCACCGCATGAATAGTAAGTATAAAATAATAATAAAAAAAAGGGGGAAGAGAGAGAAGAAGAAATAATAATAAAAAAAAAATGTGTGGGACCCACTGAATTTTTATAAAAACTCACCTTCCTTCATTTCCTCATTCATTCTGCGCGCGAGCTGAGGCGGAGAGAAGCGAGTTTCCGGTGCGAAATATCTAAATTTTTAAGGTAAGAGTTTTTAATAGGATATTTAGGGTGTGATTTTAAGCTTTTCAAGACTAAGTAAGTGTTCTAAAAATTTTTCTTAGTCATCCTTCTTATTTAGTTTCTGAGTTTGTAGTGGTAGAAAATTTAAGATCTGGAAGAGGGATGAATTTATGTTGAATAAATATGATTTTTGAGGTTGTCAGTAGTATAATAAATGTTCTAGAGTATAAATTTATTGATGATCTTTGAATCTGTGGCTTATGGATCAAATTCTAAACTAGATCTGAAAATATATGTTGATTTATTGAGGTTTAGATGATTATTTGGGATGAGAAATGAATTATTATGGTTATAGGATTATGATTCTAAGCTAGAGACTCAATTTTTAATTTTTGGGTATTTTAGGTACGAATTTATAAAATAAAAAGAAAATTTTGATAATAGAAATTAGTTTAAAATTTGATTTTTAGATTATTAATGTTTATTGATAATTAAAAGAGGAGTTAAAAATTTTACTTAATAGTATTAACTATAGATTTGTATTAAGATTGAGATTAGAAATTATGTTATATTTTTAATTCTATTATTAGAATTATTTTATTAGTTTCAAAAATTGAAACTAATATTTATAAATAATATGTTATTTGTAGATTGTATTACTGGTGAAGATTGTGGAGAGAGAGAAATTTTAAGGAATAATTTATTGAAAAAGCCACAAGGTAACCATGCTTTTAATTTATGATTAGTGTTACTTCTGTTAATTGGGTGATTATTGAGAAAATTATGAATTTTGTAATATTGTATAATTGTGCAATATTATTATGAATTTGTTTAATTATTGTGGGAGGTGTTGGGAGACTTGCTATTATTGTTGTATTTATGTGCCACGTGGTATGCCCCTATTGGAGCTCAATAGGTGGTTTGTAAGGGCTCGGGCTAATCTACCTTTGGCCGGGTAATTTAGCACCGAGTGAGGGCTACGGCTCGAGGTTAATGGAGGGATATAAGGATGGTTGTTTGTGTTTATTATAATATTTCTTATATTTGTTGGAATTATATTATTTTTAATTCTCACTTAGTAAGCACACACTTAACTGTTTGTATACACTATCATAAATTGGCTTTGGTTACTGGGACTTTTGAGTCTCATTATGTGGTTAACAATTTTCAGGAGAAGAGCCACGAGTGACACGTAGAGGAGTCCCAGAGGCTTAGTGGTATAGATCCACTGTCTCTTTTGGATATTTAATTTATGATTTATAATGTGTTATATTGCCAATATTAGGACTTTTTTATGTTTATTGTCAATTATATGAATATATAAATGTAATCATGCCTTTCAAACTATTTCTATTTTTGGTACAATTTGGATGACTGTAATTTTAATATTTGGTTTACTTTGGATTGGTTAAAATGGCATGATTATAAGGTCAAATAACTGGCTTGTGTTGAAAATTGATTAAATTGCTTATTTTACTTGTTGGGAGTATAAGGATGGACAAATG